CACTCCACTATTGAAATCACTAACACGCCAACTACTAAAATTATACATTATTATTAAAATTATGAATCTATTAAATTCATTAATTTACCTATTTCTATAATCCATTCATTATTAAATTACTAACTTATTCGCAGTCAAAACATGAACTACTAGGGTGTTCATCAAATCGGTAAATCAAATAATAATGTAATAGTTTGGGCAATATATAAAACTTATTATGTAAGGATTTTTTATAGGTTTTTTTAGCAATCTTGGAAATTTCGAAAAATTAACTTTGCAATTGATTATCATTATTCATCATTATTAAACAAATTATTTTAATACAATTTACAAAGGTACACTTTTCTAATCAAAGACATAAGATTTTTATATCATACTTTTTTTAAATTGTAGCTTTTATTTCTATCTTTATGATAACAATCTCTGTTTATGGGATTTTAATTCAATAATTATAAAATACACCATAGGCGTTGTTGGTGTTAATATGTTTTTAGCTAAAATTTAGAGTTAGGGTGCAACTTTAGAGTAAGATAGGGGTTAGATATAAAGGTCCAAATTTTAGTTAGTATAAGGTTTTTTGGGGTTCTGAACATTTTTACTTAATACTCCAAAGAGGTGTTAGCTAGTACGTTTTTGAGATATAGCAACTATGGTGTTCAACACTTATGGTGTATTTTAGTAAACTTGTTTTAATTGATTCATAGTTGTTAAAGTTGAGTAAAGCCTGTCTATTTTATTAAAGAATTAACTATTCATAAATAGAATTTATTATTGCTCAATCAGATGACTTAATTTGAACGAGGAAAAACATATGGGGACTTCGTTCGCTATTCATTACAAGCACTATATCATTCATATTAGAATCTCTAGATTCTAAAGATATATCCCTTATGATCTACTACATTTTCATATAGAGGAATGTAGTCAAAACAGAACAGCATAGCTGCAACGAGAATCAGTAATTAGTGTTATGCAATAATGTGAGTGCTGTCACTTACCCATAGGTCCTTATACTGCTATCGCAGCCGCGGAGCCTAATCACAACATGAGGTTCTTGCACTGCTATCGCAGCCGTGGAGCCTAATCATAACATGAGGTCCTTGTACTGCTATTGCAGCCACGAAGCTTAATTACAACCTGATGTCCTTGCACTACTATCGCAGCAGTAGAACCTAATCATCAAATATGAGGTCTTTACGCTACTATTGTAGTAGTGAAGCCTCATTACAATACGAGGTCACTGCTACCCAATAAAAAGCTTAGTCGCATTTAAAGAAGCAACAAAACAGAACATCAGCAACAATAAAATTCCAGCAACATAAAGAGCCAGAGACAAAAGTCCAGCAACACGGAAAGTTAGCAACGAAAATTCATCAGCGTAAGCTGACAAGAGAGATCAGCCAAAGTCTACCAAAGAAAGTCCACCAGAGAAAGTCTATCCCCGAAAATTCACCGTAAAAGTCTACAAACGAAAGTCCACAAATGAATGCTCGCCAACGAAAGTCCATCAACGAAAGTCCTCCAACAAAGTCCTCCGACAAAGGTTCCCCGATGAAAGTCTTCTAAAAAAAATTTACTGGTAAAGTCTATCGGCAAAATCCATCGGCAAAAGTTCATCGGAGAAAGTCCAATGAAGAAAATCCACAAACGAAGGTCCAATGACGAAAGTTCCACCAAAATCGTATGACGAAAGCTTAAAATGCACCCTTTATTGGGCTATCGCAGCCACA